TGAGGTGAAATGCAGCAAGGCAAGAGGGGGGCCTGTCCTGTGTGGCTGGTTGAGAATGGCCTTGCTCCTTGGGAGCCATCAGGGTCCTCTTGGGGCCATACCTGGTCCCAGCCTGCTGCCATCTGCGTGGAGTGTGGCAGGTAGAGGCAGCCTCCACCCCGGACGGCTCCCAGGGCCCTGCTGGTGCCCATCGCCAGCACAGCCTGCCTTGGCGACGTCTCCTGCTTCTGCACGCAGACCTCCCCTTTGTCAGGCAGAGAAGAATCCCCCCTCTCGCCCCCCCATGTCCCTGGGGTGGCACGTCGTCAGCACTGCGCTGGCAGAGCGAGATCGGCCTGTCATGTGTGGCTCGCCCTGCGTGGGGACGAGTAGGAACAGCCTTGCTCAGGTGAAAACGGCGTCGCAAGTGTCACGGGGAGGAAGGAGCAGAGGAGGTGAGGACCGGCAGCCACCTGGCGCTTTTGTGATGCCAAGCGACAGTTTCCTGGTTACTGTCCTCAAAGTCAGGATGGCCCAGCTCTGGGGCAGAAGGCTCCTCGTGGCTGGGGCAGCCCCGAGGCCTGGGCAAGGGAGGTGGCACTGGGTGCCCCTCATTTAGCCTGTGGGGCCTAGGCGCCGGCTCTCTTGCCTGTAAAGTCACGTCACAGTCGTGGGCACAGAGCTGAGCTGGGCTGCCGTGGGTCAGAGCGTTCTAGATTGTGGAGTCCTGCATGAGATGCAGGCGGTGACGTGGCCGCCCTTGCAGAGCAACGTGGCTCTTGGGGGTCGGGGCGAGCCCTGGGGGCACTGGGAGTGGGAAGCAACCCCTCTGCCGTGTCGCTGCGCAGGGCGCCGGCTGCTCAGCTGCACCTGTGGCTCGGAGCGGGGCTCCCCGTGGAGCGGACACAGCTCCTGCCAGTGCACGTAGGGCCGTGGTCTGGTGGAGGGATGGTAGAAAATATGCTGGCAATACAAGGATGAGTGGTGTTTCCAAAGAACTGATTTTCTGTGTGTTTCTCCAGGAGACACAGTGCAGAGGCTCGTTGAGGAAGTGGTTGATTCGTTCCACATGTGACCATGTGCGGGTCAGAGGAGGACGCGTGTGCCGCATGGCGGGGGTGGGCTGGATTTGAAGGAGGGAGGGTCTTCGTCTGGAGCTGGTAGGATAAAGGGAGAGCAGAACCTTGAGAATATGCCAGTCGGCACACTCGTGTTGCGTGTGCTCCGCGTGCCTGTGACGGCGGGCGACAGTGGTGCCACCAAGCGGGTTGTGAGCCCCGGGCAGATCCCTTAATCTCTCTGACCCTCTGCTGTAACATCCCGCCTCTTTGACCCGGCAGACTTCGGTAGGTGGTGGCTTGGCAAGAAAGCTTGTAAAATACGGTGTAGTTGACTTTGTTTTGGATGCAAGACTGGTGGGGAGCTCTTCTTGCCATTTTAACTGTGCCTGGGCAGAAAGTCGGGGCAGGCCTTTCTGTGGAGGTGACATTTGTGTTGAAATTGATGAATAAGGCAGCAAGTACAAGTTGCAGGAAAGCGTGTTCCCCCAAGAAAGAGCAGGTGCAAAGGTCCTGGGGCAGGAGTGCGCTTGGACCTGTCTGTGGCTTGAGGGGAGGAATGAATGAGGAAGAGATGAGTGTACAAGTCAGCTGATGAAATGGCAGAAATGTGCAGAATCTGGAAGGTTCTGAGGACACCCAGAAAGTGATCTTGCCTACAGACATACATGCCTTGCTGAGGGCTAGGCAACCCTCCGGGGTCCTTTCCAGCTAAGGTTAGGATTTGAAGAATCACACAGTTCAATCTCGATCAGAATGTTTTTTCTTATCATGGAAGCGCAGGAGGTGGGAACAGTTGGCAGATGTTGGGGCCCCGGGGAGGTCAGCCTGGAAAAAGAGCAGCCCAGTCAGCACGGCCGGTTTGGAGGAGGTGCAGGAGCCTGGCTGCTGGCCGCTGCCTGGGGACACAGACTTTATCCTGCGTGTGCTCAGAGCTGGGCACCCGGATGGCACTGCTGAGTCACGGTAGGGGGGCGGCTGCAAAGGGACGCAGGGACCAGTGGCCAATTTCCAGCCCTTCCTCTCATCTGGGGCTGCAGGCTGAGCCTGAGGTTGGACAGCCTCTAGTTCTTGGGGCACAGCAGCATGCGATCTTGCCTTCGGGGTTACCAGGGTGTTCACGGGGGCTGACAGCCGTTCTTACCTCCGCGGGGGAAGCCGGCGTGTTCCCGCTGTCTCCGTGCCCTGTTAGACTCAGGAAGGTTATTGCAGTGTGGCTGGTGCTGCTGTGGCGTTGGGTCGGGTTCCATTCAGCATCGTTGTCCGTGCAGCGTCACGACCTGGGGCTGTTTCATGGGGTGCTCTTTGGAGCCTCTCTACACCGGGAACTCCGGCAGGTGGGAACTGAGCACAGCACGAGTAGCCTCAGGGCTCCGGGTCCACCGGCCCCCTGCAGACTGGGGGTGGGGGTGCATTCGCTTTTGTGTGAAACGTGCTTAGAAGACTCGGAGAACAAGGAAGTCAGACCAGGTCCCACCGCGAAAACCGTACGGTCGCCGACGTCGAGGAGTGCGTTCCTTCCGCTGCTTTCCCGCCTCCGCGCCGGGCTGGATTATTCATCGTGATTCTACCGAACGTTCAGGGTTAGCCCTTGGGGCAGGTCTTCATTTTCTCACACGCTCTTCCGGGCAGTGGGTGCTTTTATTTTTTTAAGCATGAAATGACAGCGTGTCATGGAAATTGCCAGTAAACAGTGAAACCCTGCGCTTGTGAGGCAGGGACGAGGAGGCAGACAGGAGGCGTTTTCGCAAGATGAATGGGAAGAGAAGGGAGGATGACAGGCTGGGGGAGGCCCCCCAACAGGGCAGTGGGGGTGCGTACGGAGGGCGGAGGCAGCTGCGTGCGGGAGGCAGCGTGCAGGATGGAGGCCGCCGACGCGAGCGCCGTGTGCAGGTGGGGGCCCCCGCCCTGGAGGGCCCCGTGTGCAGGTGGGGGCCGCCGCGGTGGAGGGGGCGGCATGCGGGGGGGCGCCGCGGTGGAGGGCACTGCTGGCACCGCACCGAGCTGCCCGCCCTGGGCCATCTGCTGCCCTAATTGGATGCGAGTATTAACTGTCCTTCCTTAGTTCCGTGTAATCCGAGACTCCGGAAAGTGGTTCCCGAAGGTTCTGTGATTCTTGCCTGGAGCCCTCTGAAGTGGCCTCGGGACAGGACTTGGTTTCGGGAAGCAACATGAGCGGGACAGTGTTCGGTCCTCGGTGGTGAAAGCCGGCGGAGGGTCTTCCCACGGCGTGGACACTGGTCACTGGCTTCATGAGGAAGGAGGAGGGAGGCGAGTAGTTTAGCACAAGTGGTGCCTTAGTTGGGAAACTGGGAAGGTACGGACTTGGCCACGTCCAGAACTACTCGTGTGGTACGGGATCTGGTCATGTCTGGTGGCTTCTCTCCTCCCAGGCCCGTGTTCGATGCAGCCTCTGAAGTTCAAGATCGTAGCCAGGCCCTGGGCAGACCTGTGCGACGTGATTGTTAACCAGATGACGGCATTGGCCCGGTGGTGCCCCGTCAGCACGCCCGGCAGTACGGGGCCTCCTCAGGGTCTGTGCAGGACCCGCGGGAGCCCCCACGTGGCACTCCCTTAGCTGCAGGGGACCAGGAGTGGACCCGCCCACCGCCCCTGGTGGCCTCATGGGCAGTGTCCGTGGAGCACCTGGGTCCCGCTGGGAGCACCCTGCCTGGGGAGCGTTCTGCTGCGGTGTCTGCAGACCGCCGCGCTCCGTGTCCTGCTTCCTCGGGCTGCCCCTAAGGAGCGGGCAGGTGTCTGGCAGCGTGAACCGGACATCCTCTGGGGTGGGATCAAATCTTTTAAAGAGAGAATCTCACTTTTTGGAGGATACTGGGGAAGCCGTGCCTTTGAGACTGGCAACCACAGGGCCAAGCCAAGCACTTGTCTCCCTGTGCACACCGCGCCTCGGGGCTGCCGTGAGCTAGGCCCCTCTGTGCACAGGTGTCCTGCCCGTCCCTGACGGGGGGTGAGATGACATGCTGCCCACGTTTGGGGGAGGGGAGGGCGGTCTGTCAGTAAGAAGGGAGGAAGGGAGGGAGCCAGAGGTCACCCACCCACAGGGCCAGCTGGGAAGCCATCTCCCCAGAGGCTCAGACTCGAGTCTCCATGCAGGTGCACGCAGGCTCTGGGAGATAAGCAGAGACGTGCGGTCAGCCCAGCCCTGATGTTGGGGGGACCCGAGGTCTTCGACAGGAAGTGCGTGGGGCACAGGGCTGTAGATGGAAAGACACACAGTCAGTCACAGCCTCCTGACCAGTGAAACTTAAGGAGAGGTTGAATCCTGAGGGGGGGGAGAGAGAGAGAGTGTGTGTGTGAGAGAGACTCGGGGTGACCGCGGCCGCTGCTGGCTGTGACCGGGTGGCGGGGCTGTTGAGTGGAAGCGTGTTTGGAGGGAGGGGGCCGCCCGGCTGGAGACCTTGTGGTAGTCACATGTGGCGACATTCCCATGAGAAAATCTTTAAAGATAAGCAAAATATATGTGTAAAACTGCACCTGTTCTACTCTTAGGACCGGCGCCAGCATTCGAGGGTCTGGGGGAAGCGTCCACGGAAAGTAGAAGTCGCTTCCCAGAGAGATTGTGGCTCAGACACTGCGGCCACAGGTTCTCATTTGCACGAGTGCCCGGGAGTGTCGTCGCTAAGCACGTGCGGCCGGGCCTCTCCGCCTGTGGGCGCTCTCGGCGGCCCCTGGGGAAGGCCGGCACCCGCCAGCTTCCATCCGGCAGAGCCGTGCTCGGGTGGGAGCGGGGCGGCTTGCACACTGGGCAGAAGTCCGTTGGCCGTGTTGTCCGCGATGGGAGAGCCCTGCAGCCTGGGGAGGCTGTGTTCTCCCCTCCAGCCTGACGCAGGAATGCTCTGGGCGCGTGAGGGCTAGATCCAGGACCTGAGGTGGGGCGTGGGCCGGTGGGCCGTGTGGATGTGGGCGCACACCCACACTGAAGGTCGCGCTCCTGCTTTTCAGACTGGTCTGCTGCCATCCGCGTTGCCGCTCTGGACTGCGGGGAGGAGGAGAACTACGAGGTGTGCCGAGCCTATGACATCCACTTCTACCCCACCTTCCGGGTGAGCACCCTGCCTGTCCCGCGGCCGGCGCTTCTCCCACCCTGGCCCTCCTCCCGTTCCGCCCGAGGGGCACCTGCCCATGAGATCGACTGCGTGTGTAACTCCTGCACCCGGGCATGTGGGGGGTGTCACTTGGGGCTTGGCAGGAACTCGTTTGCACAGGGTCACCCCTGGCGTTCCACCCTCTCAGGCTGTACGTGTTGTGGGGGGCTGTAGCAGTAGCAGAGGAGGGTGGGGTCTGCAGCCCACAGACCCGGTGGGCATGGCCATGCTAGGGAGCCGCTGTGGGCTCCCCAGGTCAGGTCTGTCCTCCCTGCTCCCCTGCCTGTGTGGCCCGTGTCAGGCTCGGGGCCCTCTGGCCCACCATGTATGTGGTGGGTCAGGTTGTCAGAGCGACCCTGGCAGGTGGCCTTCGGGTGGCCCTACAGGCAGGTTTTACTGTGTTCTTTTTTTTTTTTTTTTAAGATTTTATTTATTTGACAGAGAGACACAGCGAGAGAGGGAACCCAAACAGGGGGAGTGGGAGAGGGAGAGGCAGGCTCCCCGCTGAGCAGAGAGCCCAATGTGGGGCTCGATCCCAGGACCCTGGGATATGACCTGAGCCGAAGGCAGATGCTTAATGACTGAGCCACCCAGGCGCCCCGATTTTACCCTTTTCTTCCACGGGGAGGCCGAGAGTGAACAGATCTGTTGAGAAGGTTCCGAAGGGCCGTGTGCACCTGTGTGTGCGCGTGTGTGCGCGCTGCCGTCCCGCGTGGGAGCACGGGTGCATCGGGACGGTATTTACATCCCAGAAAACATGCGGCCTCTGAGGAAGCTTGGAGGCCCTCAGTCTTCCAGCCCCAAAACCCTGTGCTCTGTGTGGCCTGGGGCCCGGTGCTGTCCTGCTGCTCCCTTGGCTGGGCTCAGTGGCAGCTGTGCCTCTGCCCCTAGGGACGCTCCTCCAGAGCTTCGAGGCCTCACCCTCACCTTCCCTGTGTGAGTTTTATTGTGTTTTAGCTGCACACGCAGGGTGCTGTGCCGGCTGTGAGCCCCAGGCCTTCCGTCTCACGCTGAACAGGGTTGCCGAGAGCTCCCGCACCCTCGGCGGTGGCTCCGGAGCCCTGAGAACGCCTGCCTGCGTGACCGCCGCCGCATCTTCTGTTCACGGGCGCTGTGTCCCGCAGCTGCTCCTTCGTGTGCCCGATCGCGCTCGGGGCTTTGCAGCTTTCGTGACTGATCGGCAGGCGTCCCGGGCACGTTCTCGACGCTGACCTTTCTTTCAGTTGCGAGAACGGAGAGGCTCTTCCCCCGGTTTGCAGTTCTCACCCTCTTCCACATCTCTTCTAGCGAAGAAGGTTTTTAACTTGAAGAGTTTCTTTTCTTCTGCCCCAAGATGTCCTGTGGCATCTGTCACCCGCCCCGAAGGTCGGAGCCGGCCACTAGGATGCATGTTGGTGCCGGGAGTCAGGGAAAGCGCCGACTGCGCGGCCTGGCTTCTGGCCCTGCTGGGTCAGAGAGCATACATCACGGAGCCCCGACGCGTCTGCCTGGAAACACGGATGGCTGCCGGCGTGCATGGAAACGGCGGCTCCTTCTCAGTTAACGGGAACTTGCTGGAGCAGATTAACTCAAGCTCTTTTAAGACGATGGTCATTTTCTTGCTTCAAGATTAAACATTTGCACAAGGGGTGCCTCGGGCTCAGCAGGTTAAGCCTCTGCCTTCAGCTCAGGTCATGATCTCAGGGTCCTGGGATCGAGCCCCACATCGGGCTCTCTGCTCTGCAGGGACCCTGCTTCCCCCTCTCTCTGTCTGCCTCTCTGCCTACTTGTGATCTCTGTCAAATAAATTTTTAAAAAATCTTTAAAAAAAACAAGAGATTAAACATGTGCACAGACACCAGGTCTGGTTGTTTATTACTTGTTCTGTGTTTTTTCTCTTAGTATTTCAAGGCGTTTACAAAGGACTTTACAACTGGAGAAAATTTTAAAGGTAAGGACGAGTTTTATATTTTGTTGTCAAGAGTCGCCTCATAAACCCGTTAAAGCGAAGGTGATTTCAGGAGAGCAGGGAGCCCGTGGGACGGGGTCCGTGGGCCTCCACGCCAGCGTCAGCGAATCTGCATCGGCACCTCTGACCACCTGTCCTCGGACGGCTCAAGCAGTGTCATAGTTTCGGCAACAATTTTTTATTCCAGGTTTTGCCTTCCTTGTTAAATCTGACAGTGAAATCTTTTTAAGTAAACTCCTTACTCAAAAAATATTTGGAGAAGTTCATGAACCACGTGCTTGCCTAGTGAATTGTATGAGGGACCCCCCCCCCCACCGGGAGCCAGTGCCCAGGTCAGGCTCCCGGGGACGGCGGGTCTCCAGCAGGGTCGCTGGGTGTGTTCTGAACACTCCGTCTCCACGCCCTGTGTGGGAGATTGGCCCCTGGTGCCCGTTTGGTTCCACACCAGTCACCATATGCTCTGTCCTGTGCCCCCACCGTGGTCTGTCGACGACCATCGGTGCGTCCTGCCCGTGTCCGTGCGGTGCCATCTGGGGCCCTGGGGCAGTGGCATTCCACGCGGTGACGGTGGCACGACTCCCTGCAGGGCCCGACCGAGAGCTGCAGACGGTGAGGCGGACCATGGTCGACTTCCTACAGAACCACACAGGCGGAGGCAGGCCGCCTGCTTGCCCACCACTGGACCCCATTCCGTGCGTAGTTGCGTGAAGAGGGGAGTGTTGGGACTGGAGCCGAATTTCGTGAACACAGATTTGCATTAAGTGTGTGGGTGCCGCATGGGAGGGCCAGCCCGCTGCTCTCGGAAGCACTGAAAGCCTCTGTTTCTCTCAAAGGCCCAGCGACGTCCTTTCCCTTGTGGACACTCACGGTGGCCGTTACGTGGCCGTCCTGTTTGAGAGCCATGGCTCCTATGTCGGCCGTGAGGTACCGTGTCCGTGTCTATCCCCGTCTCTGTGAGCGTGCCGCGATTCCGTTCCCCCACGGCAATGACCTCTTCCTCCTGCCTGTGGCCTTCCCGCATCTCACTCCCGTTAATTCTTGGGATGTTGTGGTGTCGCTCAGCGGATTGGCTGGTTCGCAGAAAACACTGTGAGAAGGGGCCTCGACGGCGAAGCGGGGGCCCAAGCGGGGGCCCAAGCGGGGCCCCCCAGACCCAGATTTCAGGGCGCCCTGCCTCTTCCCTCAAGGCTCTTTATTTCTTACTCACAGACATCTCCATTAGAATTTTTTCTTGGCTGTGTTGGAAACACTTAACTTTTCCACCAGGTCCAAGATTATATAAAACGTCATTTCTACAGTGGAACTTTATTCTGTTCTCTTTCCATACGTGGGGTCTGAAGCCTCTGCCCCTGGTGCCAGACTCCAGCGTGGAGGATGGGAGGTCCCTCAGAGGGCGGAGGGAGCGGCTGGCTGCTGGGGCTCTCCTGCTTGTGCCCAGCGCCTTCCTCCTCCTTCCGCTCACCCTGCTGCCTGCCTCCTGGCCATGTCGCCGCCTCCGGGAGCTCTGGGCGGGAAGGCGGGACACCGTGTGCTCCTGGCAGGCGCGCTCGTCAGTGCGCGCTCACGCGGAGGCTACGAGTGTCAGCAGTCTGAACACCGCACTGTGCCTGTGCCTCCGAGTTCCGGCGACATCGTGCCGCCATCTCTGTGCCTGACCGGAACTCCCCGGGTGGCGGGCAGGCTGGGAGGAGCCACCAGCAGCAGGACCAGCATTCTCACCTGGCACCCCCCGCGCTGTCCCAAAGCTGCCTCTCCCTGCTGTGCGCTTGTGTCCTCGGGCGCCCCTCCCTTCCCGCACGCAGGGATGACGGGCAGGGGCTGCTCCCCAGGGTGGGTGGCTGCGTCCATTCCCGGAGGGCACTCTGCAGTGGGGCCGGGTGTTGAGACCGTGGTGCGCACTTCCGGCAACGCCCCCGCTTGGGACATGCGTACCCTTTGGCGGAAAGAAGTTGACAGGTGTGGGTTCCACACCTGATCGCACTAGTGGCGCGACAGGCTCAGGGGTCATCTCTCCAGCTGTTCCAGCTCCTACAGTTTTGCTGCTGTGGTCCTTTTGCTGCTCCGTCCCTGTCCCGGTGCCTTCAGCCTAAGCAAGGCTGGACGGGGGAGGGAAGGACGGGCTTCGTCCAGACGATACTGTTCATGGTTTTCATGCTCGCGCTGCTTTGTGATCGGTCAAGGTAATGTTTCCTGAGACACGGCCCCCCACAGGGGAGGTGACATTGCTTTCTCCGTCCACAGGTGATCTTAGACCTGCTTCCGTACGAGAACATTGTGGTGAAGAGAGTGCTGAACGCAGAGAAGGGCTTCCTGGAGAAACTCGGTGTCTCTTCCCTTCCCTCCTGTTACTTGATTTACCCAAATGGGACACGTGGATTAATTAATGTGTAAGTGCCGTTTGGCTTCAGGAGTGTTGCGACCCCTGGTAGGATCTGGGGACCCCTCCAAGTGTGGGAGCTGCCTCTGGGCTAGATGCCATGCGCCTTGTCACAGTTACGAGCACAGAACCCGCCTGGACGCCATCTGCACGCCCCAAGTGCCACTAGAAAGTGAACAGCCCGAAGCAGGGTGGCAAGGGCCACAGATGGGAAGGTGAGACGGGGTCCTGGGGCCTGTGGTGTCTGCCCTAGCCCCAGGAGGCCTGCCTGCCCTGGGGGTTGCCCGCCCAGCCCCTGGCTTGGAGGTGCCCACATAGCCAGCCATGACTTGGCCACTCTTGGCGCATCTCATTGTGCTGGGACACGGCCCAGCCAGGATGCGCTTCCTCAATCCCTGGGCTCCTGGCTCGTCTGGGAAGCGGCCTCCCCAGAGCCTCAGATGCGCCCCGGTCCTTGGGTAGGTTTCCCTTCTTAAGAAGCAGAAGTCAGGGTGGGCGTGGCCACCTCCGTGGATTGGGTCATTCATGCTGTCCTCTGCGAGCGGGCTCATCCCAGCCGGGCCCCCTGGGGCTGGCCCGCAGCAGAGGGTGCCAGCGCCACATCTGCAGCAGGAACTATCCCCGACAGAGTGTCCCTGAGCAGAATGCCATTTTAAAGAAAAATGCTTGTTTTACATGAAAAGCCCTGTTGGTAGCACTTCTCCACATGAAGTGACGCGCATATTGGAGTCAGAAGGAGCCATGAATGTCATTGATGAGCCCTGAGCTCCTTTGCAGGGGCTTGGGAATCGCCTTTACATACCGTCCAAGTGTGAGCTCCTCCCCACCCGGGCGAGGGCCCCCTGGTCCCCGGATGTCCCTGCAGCCCTGACTCTCCGACACCCCACTTGCAGCTGGCAGGGTACTGGCAGGGGCCCTGGGCATGCCAGAAGCCGCAGCTGAGGAAACTTGTTACTGGTCCTCATCGTGGCTACAGCTCGGTGATTTGTGGCTCTGTCTTAACCTCCCAGGTCGGGGGGCCGGCCTGCTGATGCCCGCGCTGCCAGCATCCTGCCCTGCCGCCCACGGCGCCTGCAACGAAGGCCCAGAGCGTGGGTGGGCTGGGGGGTCCGGCAGGCTCCGTGCGTTGTGGAGGGAGGGCTCCTCTCGCTCGGGGAACCCGAGTGTCTGGGTGACTGGCGCGTGCTCCGACACCTGTGGGGGGGTGGCCAGGCCCCTGGAGGCGCCCTGGCCTGCGCCCACACCTGGCCCCCTTTCTCGCAGCGGGAAGCCCCTCCGATCGTTTTTTTCCTCTTATTTGAAGTCGTTGCCGGATGTGAGGAAAAAATTGCTTTTGTTGCCTGAAAAACCCAACAAGGAAGAGAATCCCGAAGTCGTGGTTTGGAGAGAATTTGACAGGCAGGTACTCTCCGGCCTGAGCTGGCCCAGGCGAGGCTGCGTGCACGGGTGCCCGCGCAGCCCTGAGTGGTGGGCTTCACTCAGACACAGCCCTGCCGGCTGCGGGGGAGTTGTCGCTGTCATCCTGTGGGGTGCGGGGGTCCCTTGGGGCGGGCGCAGGGAGAGGGTGCGTTCAGGCGACGAAGGGGCTCAGCAGGCCTCGCGGTGTTTGTTCTCAGGGCGAAGCTCTACACGGCGGACCTGGAGTCGGGGCTGCACCACCTCCTGAGGGTAGAGCTGGCCGCCCACAAGTCCCTCGCGGGGGCCGAGCTGCGGACACTCAAGGACTTCGTCACCGTCCTCGCCAGGGTGCGCTGCATCTCACCTGGGCTGCAGGGGGGCTCAGGAGGGCGCCCGGGGGCGTGGCGGGGAGCGCAGCCGGCCTCAGTTGGAGGACTGCTGTCTACAGCGGCACGGGCCTGCGCTGGCTCTGCCCCTGCTCAGCACGCGCCAGTTCTGAGCCCCAGCCATGTGGCGGAGGCCAGGTGGCTGCTTGCCGGGTGACCAGACGAGGTGTCAGGGCGGGGCTGGGGACGTGTGGGCAGGGAAGCTCGGCAGGCAGAGGGCAGGAGGAGGCCTCCCAGCAGCCCTCCCTGTGCAGGGTGTGTCCAGTGGGCCGGGTGCGGGGGGGGCAGCACCCCACCTTCACTGGTGGGCGGAGCGGTGAGGGTACATGGGCGGGTTGTCGTCAGTCGGGAGCTGTGGCTGTCGGGTCACCTTTCTGCCGGGAGCCCTTAGCTCCCGGGCCAAGAACCCAAGGCCTGCTGTTCTCCTTGGGCCAGAGCAGTGGGAAGCAGGAGGTCATTCCTCTTCCCCAAGGAGTACCTGGGGCCCCTCTGCGCTCTCACGCCAGGGAAAGCCTCGGTCACAGTGGCCTGAGGACAGAGCCCTTTGCCCCGTGTCTGGCATCGCAGTCATGCCTGTTGTCTCGAAGAGGGAAGCTTTGCTCGGAAGGACTTCCCTCGGGGCACCTGGCTGGCTCTGTCGATAGCTCTGCGGCTCTTGATTTCGGGGTTGGGGGTTCAGGCCCCACACCGGGCATAGTGATGACTTAAAAATAGATAAGGGGCTTCTCTCGCGGCGGTAAGGGGCTTGGCACAGTAATTCCCGTTCAGCACTTCCATGGTGTGTTGCACACTTGTGTCCCATGACTTCGGAAAGAGAAGGAAGGAGGCCAGACTCACAGCCCCAGGAGTAGTGAGTCACGTGACGTGTTCCCAGTGAAGAAAGGTTGTGTAGGCAGGTGTGTGGCCCGCAGTGCCGGTCCCGGCCCAGAGCCCCGCGGTCCTCCCTCCTCTGCCTCCTCGTCCTCTGCCTCAGGCATGCAGCTCTGTGGTCAGGGTGACTGTCCGTTGTTCTTTCTGGAGCGTGGCGGACCTGGAAGCTGGAGGCCGGCGTGTCGCTAGCAGCACTTTGTGACGCGCGCAGGAAACAGGGTTCTGCAGCCACGAGCTGTGCTGGCCCCGGGGCAGCGGGCCTCGCCGTCTCTGAGCTCTGGGCGGCGTGTCAGGTGCTCGGGGAAGGGCTGCGCCCGCCGGTTGCAGAGCTGATGCTGCTCTGAGCGCGAGGGGCCGCGGCTGCGTGGCTGGCACAGACGCTTCGTTAACCAGCACAGCGCACCCTCCGGGATGAGAGCCCCTGTGGGATGCGTCTCTTCCGCGTGGTTCCGCAGTCAGACAGCAGGGGGCAGGCGGAGGGAGCATGGAGTGCCGCAGCGGGCCTGCGTGTGTTAGCTCCGGGCCGGGTAAGTCAGTCGCGGTGCTTCCAGAAAGGGCCGCAGGGCCCTCCACCACTTGATGCAAAAGGCAGGTCGTGGCCATGTCGTCTGTCACCGTGAAGCAGTTGCCGGCTGGGGCTCCGAGCTGATGGGCGAGGCACAGGCGGCTGTGAGAGCCGGGGACCCGCCTGCGGCTCCTCCGTCCCCCTTCTCTGTGCTCCGGACAGACCCCCCCACCCCAGTACTAGGGGAGAGCCCTGGGACCTTTCCCAGCAGACTGGTGGGTCCGTGTCCGGCAGACCCGACCTGGCCTAGGTCCCCAGGGACGGCTGTGCCATGGGCGGTGTCTCCCCCGAACCGTCTTTTTTTTAAGTACGGTCCTTCCTTGCACAGCTGTTCCCCGGCCGGGCACCGGTCAGGAAGCTGCTGGAGACGCTGCAGGAGTGGTTGGCCAGCCTTCCCCTGGACAGGATCCCCTACAACGCTGTCCTCGACCTCGTCAACAACAAGATGCGGGTGAGCCCACGCCCCGCCTGTCCACGTCCTCCTGCTCTCCCTCACTGCCCAGGGGCCCGGCCGCGTCCCCCCAGCTGCGCCTCGCAGGTCCCACTGTCCCTGTTCCTGGGACGTGCTCTGCACACGCTGCCTCTGCCTGTGGCGCGGTCGGCCGAGGCCACGGGAGGTGTGCTGTGACATGGAGGGAGGCCACGGGAGGCGTGCTGTGACACGGCGGACGGTGGGTGCTCGGCCTATTGTGCTACTTGTATTTGTGGTAAACGCTTCAGTCTTACATGCAAGAGGCTGATAAAACCATGTGCTCCGTGAGACGCAGGAAGCCCCACCGGAGCGCCCCCAGGCCAGTTCTCCTCCCTCCTATCCCAGCTCTCGGAAGCCTTCCAGTCAGGATGCGACCCGGGGCAGGATGCAAGCCCGCGCGAGCCACACGTCGGGTGCTCACAGGTGCCGCGCTGTCCGGCAGCACAGAGACGTGCTGGGTGCTGGCCTTGACCTCCCCCTGGCCTCCCCCTAACCTGGAGGCCCCCATAGGCTCCTCGGCTACAGGGTCTTTCCGCATGCACGTCCCTGTGGGAGCCACGTGCTTCAGGCCCCGTGGACAAGCCCTGTGCCAGCCGGCCTGCCGCGAGACGCAGGCCGTGGCTGTGGACTTGGCATGAGAAGCCCCTGCTTGGCTGCGGGCACGTGGTCCCTGGGCTGTTAGGGCCTCGGCGCTCCACCGATGCCGCCGTGGGCCACACCTGCTCTGGCTGAGAACCGCTAGGCCACTGGGTGGTTTCCTCTCACCCTGCCCCAGTGGGTGGCGGGGCTGGGTTAAGTGACTCTAACACACGAGGCCGGGAGCCCTTGACGCTTGCCTGAAGCTGCGTTGATCCGATACCACGAACCCTCCGTCCCTGCAGGGGGAAGGAAAGGCACAGGCTCCGCCCCCTAGTTTGAGAACTCCTTTGGTGGAATAGAGGCTTTGTTCTCTCGCTTGTTCGGTGTTGAACTTAAATACACGCGTAAGGAGACGTGCGGTTGACACGATTCTGATGCATCAACACCAGGCGCAACCAGCGCCCGCTCAAGCCGGAGGAAGCTCGCCAACTGCTTTAATACTTCAGTTATCTCATTCTCTCCCTGCCCCCAGATCTCTGGAATATTCCTTACTAATCACGTAACGTGGGTTGGATGTCAAGGAAGCCGGCCGGAGCTCAGGGGCTACACGTGCTCTCTCTGGCGGTTGTTCCACACTCTGACTGTCGAAGCCGGGGCCCGCCCAGAGGCGCTGGATGGCACAGGTACGTGCTGTCCCCGCGCGGGCCCAGGGCGCGCCAAGCCTACCTGCCACGTTCACCGTGCTGGGGCCTTTCAGGATCGTGAGCAGCTGTGTGTGAGGGGACACGTCCCCAGGGCTGCCCGGCGCGGGGGGGCGGGGGGCGGTGGCGCGGGCTAAGGAGCGTGGAGGGGAGCGTCTTGCCTGCTCGGGCGCCGGGTCCTCCAGAACTCTCAAGCCTGTGTGCGGCTGACCTGTGGGGACAGCGTCACAGAATGCAGGCACAACGGCCAGGAGCTCCTTTCTCGCAAAAGCATGACCGAGTGAGCGCGTTGACTTGTCTGCTTGGTACGTGTGGTCGCGAGACAGGCCGGCAGCGTCGCTTTCGGTGGGCGTCTGTGGGCCAGGGGCTCCGATGGCGCTGGGCCCGGGCCCCCGGCTGCTGGCGTCTGGCGAGCCTGCGGGCCCAGTGTCGGCTGGCGCCGGGGCGTCATCAGGAGTCTGCCCTGGGGGGAGCCCCTCCCCTGCTTGCTCGTGGGCGGTGGCAGGACTCGGGGCCTTGCTGGAGGTCGGCCGGCGGCACTCCCGGTTCCTTGCCACGTGGCAGCCGGCTCTGCAGGCCAGTCGGCGTGTACTCGGTGTGCAGCCGGTCACTTCTGCTGTGGGCCCGGTTAGCGGGGCGCAGCCAGCCCGGCTTGCCCAGGGAGGGCCGGGCCCGCCGAGCTTGTGGGAGCTGCAGCCCTGGGCTGTCGCAGAGGCCGCCCGCATGGAGAGGTTAAAAGCCACAAGAGGTTAGGTCGGTGTTAATAGCGTTCGTCACCGGGCGGTCACTAAAGCGGAGCCGTTGGCAGTGCAGCAGCGAATACATGCAGGGGCTCCCCCGCTCCGGGCTCCGCTGTGCGCGCTTCCCCTGTGAAGCTGGCCGCTGGCCTCTGGCCGCTGCGGGCGGATCACCTTTCATTTATTGTTTATTCTCTTAAAGATTCTACATACTTACTTGACCCGGGGGGGGCGGCACACACAAGCCGGGAGGTGGGAGAGGGAGAAGCAGGCTCCCCACTGAGCAGGGGGCCCGGCCGTGGCGGTGGGGCTCGATCCCAGGACCCTGGGGTCATGACCTGAGCCGAAGGCAGACGCTTTGCCGACAGAGCCACCAGGTACCCGACCATCTGCCTCCAGTCTGCGCTTGGACTGGGCAACTGCGGACGCTGCTCTGCTGAGTGAAGGTGGGGGCTCCCTCCCTCCCCGATGTCTGTCCAGAAAGACTGAAACGTGCAGTACGTCCTGCTCCAGAACGAAGAGAACCAAACGCTGGGGCTTGAGAGAACCGTAGCTTTATGTGCTCAGGAATCAGTGCGGGTCACCCCAGCTCCCCACGGCCCGGGGCTTAGGAAGGACCTTGGGGCTGGGCTGGACGGTACAGGGCGTCTTGTGCCACGGCCCATTGCTCAAACGGGCCTCACCCAACCCGGGTCCGTGGTGGGGTAGAGCGGCTCCCTGGTGCTGGGGAGTCCGTGAAGTCGCTGCAGGGGACGGGCTGTGTGTGGGAACCGTCAGCAGCCTGGCTGTCCTTGGGGTGATGCGGACGGCCATGTCCCGGGGACCTGGCAGGGTGCACGCTCCGCTCTGCGGGAGCTCACAGCGCCGGGCAGGACGGCAGCCCAGCAGCAGGGCACGCCGTTGGGAAGCTCTCCGGGACGTGTCCGGAGCCACATCAAGGAGCGCAGCTCGTGCCCAGAGAACTGGGTCAGATGGACACGGCCGGATTAGGTCTTGGAAGGTTTTTCCTCTCCTTAGTGCGTGTTTAAACCCCATCGACTAAACCGCCGCATCCTCTAATCCCCCACAGGTAGGGCTTTATGGCTCTTGTTCTCTCTGAAGATTAGGGCGTCCGGGCCGCAGTGGTTTGCCGGGGCGACAAGAGGAGGATTACCCGGGGACGCATGGCAGCTGGTGGCGGGGAGAGGAGGGCTGGGAGCCGAGCCTCGGGAGGGCTGGCTGGCAACGTGTCCTCACCGCGTGCACACGGGCCCACGCCGCCCTCGGAGACGCGCCGAGCTGAGGAGACGGTGGCCATCCGCTCGACCGGGCCTTCTGCTGCGCCTGGGGAGGCCTGCCCAGGTCCACGACGGGGGTGGGCACTGGCCCTTCGTGAGCGGAATCACACACAGTGGGGAAGGAGGGGATCGCAGGAGGGCTTGCTCTCGATTAAGATGGATTCTGTCTCAAAAGCATGTCTTTTTTTTTCCCCCCAATTATTTTCCTGCGTTTCTTTTAATGCTGACATTTAATCTGCTTTAATCTCATGGCATCTCGCTCGCTGGCTCAGTCCCCCGCATTAGCTGTCTGAAGGGAGCCGCCGGCGCCAGCCCCGTGACTGCCCCTCTGTTTGCTGTTCTCAGGGGTCCTCATTTTAGTGAGACGGTGGCTGCTTCCCTCTGCCATTGGGGGCTGTGTCCTCGGACGGTCATGTTCCGCGTTCAGTGTCTTTACACACCGTGTCCCAGCGGCACCTGCGCCCACACCCGGGGCACACAGTTCATGTGGCATTGCCGCTCGTGGACAGGGTCAGCCTCTCGAGAGGGGACAGGTCCTCGCCTCCTGCTGCCCTCTTGTGCCCTGGAGGGAGCCCTGGTGCGTCGCAGCCTCGGGCTGGTTTTCCCAGCTGTGGTACATGCCCTGGAGCGTGTGCTGCGCTGGACACGGGCCGTGGATCTGCTCTCCAGGGGACACGAGCCACCCCTTCTGGACGTGGCAGGTGTCCAGGAGGTGCTGCTTTCTCCCTGTGTCCTTCCCGCACAGACCAGCAGGGCTGTCCCGCAGGCCCCGGGGCAGGCACGGGGCCCGTTCCTGGCTCCTGACGCCAGCCCGAGCCCTGGGGCCTGCGGACATGCTCCTGTAGTGCCGACGTGCTCTGTCCCCTGCCCCCCCACAGGTCTGGAGGATGACCCCCAGGCCGTGCTGCAGACCATCCGGAGGTACGTGCGCACCTTCTTTGGCTGTAAGGCGTGCAGCGAGCACTTCGAGGCGGTGGCTGAAGAGTCCATGGGCACGGTGAAAACCACAGACCGAGCGATTCTCTGGCTGTGGGAGACTCACAACCTAGTCAACAGTCGTCTGGCAGGTGAGCAGAAGCTACCCTGGGGGGCGCCAGGCCCGGGGCCAGAGGGGCCGCCGCAGTGGGGGTGAGGCCGTGTACACAGACGGCCGTCAGAGTGAGGCTGTGTAGACGGGTGGCTTCCCGGAGGATGGCCGAGAACGCAGCCACCTCAGGCCGCCGGCGTCCCCGCCTTTTCCCACTCTTCCCCCTCGGGGAGCCTGCCAGGCCCCGCAGACAGTGGGCGGCAGAGGGTCGAACCGCTGTCCGGAAAGCCGTTGGCCGTGCTGCGGTCTGCTCTGAGTGAAGCGCACCGCCAAGGCGGCTTGTGTGAATGCGGCACGTGTGTCGCCTCCCAGTTAATTCAGACTCTGCCCCCAAATCACTAGCAGATTGAAATTAGGCTTAAAAATAATTCTGCTGACGGGTAAGTCTTAATAGAGATGAGTAGAAAAAACCACTAAACTATTGGTTTTATTTAATCCGCTGTCCGGAAGCGCTCCGACCGAAGCACTAAAGAGAATTGGTTTTTTTTCGCTCTCAGAGCTGCCGCGGCTCGGCCCGCAAGGCCATGAAACCATTGCTTGCCGGGGGTCTGTCCATGGCTGTACGCCTCCACCACGGCTCTAGTTCTGGGACCCTCCACCTCCGGGTGTGCGGCCCCCCTGCTCCCACCGCACCCCAGCCTGGGGGGATTGTCCCGGGCAGCCCCAGTCCAGGAGCCCCGTGTGCCCCCCATGTGCTTGCGCTGCAGCAGAATGGGGCTTTCCGCAGCCCGAGTCGTCGTGTCCCTGCTTCAATTCTGCGTCCCCCTATGTCCCCCCAGACCCACTTCTGGCCTCTGCATGGAGGCCCAGACTCCTTGGAGGCCTCAGAGACCGGCCCTGGGCCTCACTGTGTGTGTGGCGTGTGACACCAGGCCCCGGTAGCTTCTCCGTGGACTCCTCGTGGACGCCTCTGCCTCATGCCCGGCGCAGACCCTGGTGGGTGGTGCCTGGGCCTCTGGCACCGGCCCCTGCCTCCCGGCTCTGTGCTCACAGGCGGGAGGAGAGCGTCTCCATTGGGTCATACCCAGTAGATGCGATTTTGTCCACGCCTACTCACGGAAGCACTTTTGGAGTGGCAGGGCACCCCACGTTGGGTCAGGGGACTCTGGGAGCCGAGGGGCACAGTGTGGCGCACCTCGTGGTCCTCATATCTGCGTGGCCGGGAGCCAGAGCTGCAGGGTCAGGCAGGGCGTCGCTCACCCAGACGGAAGAGAGGGAAGGGAAGAGAGCAGGTCAGGCTGCTGCTCCATGGGCTCCACCACCCGGAGGAGCGAACGCACTCACCCAAGGACAGGAGGAGTCTCAGCCGTGGCCTCCGTGGACGGCTGGCAGGACCGTGACTGAACCGCCTTGTGAGCGGATGTTGAGCAAGAAGTAGCGTGACTTTAAACCTGGGAGCACTCTGCGTCTGAGTTGGCGTGCGCTCAGCTGTCGGAGTGCTGGGGGGTCACGGTTCCTGCGAGGAGCGGTCCTGCCGGCCGAGTCGACCCCGGGCAGTGTGGTCAGCGGGGGCAGGACAGTGCTGTGTCGCCGTGCCGCCCCTGAGCAGGACGGGCGGCCGGCTTTGCGCGGGTTCCCACAGCAGGTCTCACTCCCAGGATGGGTTTAGAGGTCCTGACGGGATTTGGGGGTCTGGGAGGGCCCACACGTGCCTGAAGTGCCGTGGAATGGTCTGGGCAGCCTGTGTCCAGGGGCAGGGACTCTGGGGGTCTATGTGGCCGTGGACCTCAGATGCACCTTAAGAAGGGAGAGGACAAGCAGAGACGGGGCATGAGCAGGGGCCTCGGGGTCACAGGGAGACAGAGTAGCTGCGGGTGGGAGCGGGGTCTGGCCAGGTGGATGGCACTGTCCAAGTGAGGACCCTTCCCTTGCTGTGGCCACGAGGCCCTGCCAGAGGTTCCGGGGGGGAACGCCATTTGTGTGGGGAGCTTGGGGGACAGGCATCTGTGCAGGAGTGACGGATGTGAGGCCAGGAGCACTGGGAGGTCACGGTGCAGGCGGCTGGACAGGGGAGGCGTCTGCGGAACATGGAGCAGTTGGGTCACCAGAGATCCCCTCACCGTTGCTCTCCCTCCCTGTCCCAGGTCATCCAAGTGAGGACCCCAAGTTTCCAAAGGTTCCGTGGCCCACCCCGGATCTCTGCCCAGCCTGCTACGAGGAGATCAAGGGCGTGCACAGCTGGAACGAGGGCCAGGTGCTTCTGTTCTTGAAGCAGCACTACAGCGGTGACAACCTCGTGGACACGTATGCAGCAGACCTGGGGGACACCAGCGAAGGACGCGGCCCACACCAGGGCGGGGAGCAGGAGAAAGGCCTCGCCTCCCCAGGGAAGCCTCAGAGAGACCAGCGCTCCGAGAGTCTCCGTCCACCCAGCGTGCTGCCTCCCAGACCCCGCCTGTCGGACGGCTCGCAGCTCGGCCTGGACGGGAGACTGCGGAGTGCACGCGGAGCTGAGGGCCGCAGGGAGGCGGAGGTGGCTGTGCCCTTCCTCGGGATGGGCTTCTCTGGCCTGGACATGAGCCTCTGCGTCGTGCTCTACGTGGCCTCTTCCTTGTTCCTGATGGTGATGTACTTTTTCTTCCGAGTGCGGTCCAAGCGGTGGAAGGTCAGACATCACCGGCCGTCCGTGTAGGAACTGAGCGGGACCACAGAAGCGCCTTTGGGGAAACAGCCCCACCAGGCCACCTGCAGCTTTCATAGGAGATCAGGGATTTTATTAACAGCGAGACCCAGTTGTACTTCCAGTGGCGGGCAGGCCGGCGTTTGCCGTGGGCCCGCGTGCCCTCCTGGCGTGCTCCCTGGACGCCTATACAAGGCTGACAGCAAAAATGTTTCTGTATTTTCGCTCTCCTCGGTCTAAGAAAAGGGGGAGTCCAGGCCAGACAGATTTTCCCGGCTGCCTTCGTCCCAAGTTTCTAGACGCACGTCACCTTCCGCAAGCCTGGCTGGGATTCCGAGAGCACCGAGCCCTTGTGCCGGGAGGCTGGGGGGTGATGGCACGTGGCCGGCCTCGGCCCGGCGGAGCTGCAGCGCCCGGCGAGCTCGTTCTGGTGGGCTGACGTGTGTACGGTCGTCAGAGCCTTTAAGGCTGAACCCCAAATCTCATTTCCCAGAAGCTGTTTTACAAAAGGTCCTGACCCAGGACCCCGGTCCCCCAGGCTTTGGTGATTGATTTTTTACCATTTAATGATTTTTCACACACTGTGTGTAAAACCCAAATCACTTAGAGGTGAATTTGCTCCTGGAGATATAAATAGACAAAATGAGCAGGCTCTGCCTTTTCGTGGAGATGCTTTATGACGTCGCTTTGTCCACAAGTACAGCTGCGTCCGTCCACTCCTGTCACTAGGACGGTACGACCGTCTTCTCCACTTCGCCCAGCGCCCGCTGTGATCACGAACTAATGCCTGTTGACCAGGGGCGTGTCTTGGGGGGGCAGCAGGCGAGCTGTCAGGAGCTTGAGTTCCTGCAGGGGGATGGGGGATGGGATGGGGGACAGGGACTGACTGGGGGATGGGGTGGCGGGGGACGGGGGTGAGGGACGGAATGGGATGGGCATGGGATGGGGGCAGGACAGGATGGAGGACAGAATGGGGGACTAGAGCACAGGGAATGAGGGATGGGGTGAGGACAGGGTGGGGGGACAGGGGGACCGGATAGGGTTGTGGTAAGGGAAAAGGGAAAGGGGGGATGCGGGCAGGTGACTGGGGGCGGGGTGTGGGATGGGGCAGGGGACAGGGACATACAGATGAGGGACGGGGGATGGGGCTCCATCTGCAGCTTCCTCAGCTGCTTGGCTTCCGTGGCTTCTCCAGAGGTTTCTTCCCGTCGGGCTGTGCGTTGCCCCTGGAAGCCCGTGTGCTCAGCCTGTGTGCTCCGGCGGTGGCTGTGCCCCCAGTTACTGAAGACCCGGAACCTGGAAACTGGCCGGATCCACCCACAGAATCCACAGGGGGGTGCCCAGCACCACAAATGAAACTACCTTCTGGTTCACGTCCAGTGTGTTTCCTCCCCAAAGTACATCTCCACACGCGGCGTGGTCTGGGATGAAGGGCAAGACGCCAAGGCCATGACCACCACAAAAGCCAGGGACGGCCTCTCGGGGTAACGTTGCAGTTGGAGGTCTCCGTTACTCGAGGGCCAGGTTTCCCCCAGACCCTGAGCAGTCAGGGGCAGGTGGTGTGCCAAGGCAGCCACGGGACATGTGTCTGGTGTGTGGGTGTGGACGTGGCCACATGCCTCACGTGGCCTGCTAGGAATTGGACGTTAACTTTGGGCAAGGTTTAAGGTCTATTTTCTAAAGTTGTAAGCATTTAGATTAATGAATAGAATAGTTCGGTAATTTAAACGTGTATTTATTTTTAATGAAAGGATTTTGATTAAAAAGCTCATTGATGTGGCAACTTCTGAAATTTCTTACCTGTAAGAAAAATAAACATTTTGTATTTAAGTGAACTATAATGTGCACATCTTAAAATAAACCTGACGTTTGGAAGGACTGTAATTCTTTCGAAAATGTGAGCTTGTTCTGGCGGGGATAGGTCAGGGCGCAGAACGGACCCCTCCTTCCCTTCCGGAGTTCGTGGACCGGGTGTCTGAAACCCTGGGGTTCCTTGTATTGAGCCTCTGGTTTTGGAAGACAGCCCAAGACGTGGGTGGAAAGTGAAAGATGGAAGATCAATTATAGGTGATCTTCTCAGGGCTGATGTAGTTGGGGACCGGCCACAGGACCACAGCCTTCACGCATGTCACACGGTAGATTGATGGGACGCAGCAGGGATGGATACGTGGGAGTCCTGTGACTTCATGATGCACCAGGGGCGCCCTGGTGACTGGAGCCCCCCGGCCCAGCCAGTGCTGGACACGGCTTCCTTGGCCGCCCCACTGCCACCCCATCTGCACACCCCAGCACGGCCTCTAGCCAGGGCTTTACCCCCAACACCTGTTTGCTGCCTCGGGTTCTGAACTATTGATTCCGTCTGCTTCTACCTTTTGTTTTGTTTTGTTTTGCTGGGGGCGGGGCGGGGCGGGGGGCGGGCACTCTGGTCATGGTGGCTTCTGAGGGACCTGATGGAGGTGGTTCCCGTGGATTCACCTTCCGAGCCAGGCTGTGTGCTAGCTATAGGTAACCCCTTCCCTCAGAGAGGGAGCCCCTGTGTGCCCTCCAGGCAGGGCACGGACCATTCTGCCATTCCGGGTCTGTGTGGTGCTGTGTTGGCAAGGGTCCGCCGTCTGGTAACCCCTCCCAGCTCTTGTGTCCTGAGCAGTTCCTGCTGGGGGCGCCCCTGTGCCCCTCCTCAGCTGCCCTGTGGGCGTAGGGGTGGGCTGCTGCAGACCTGGGGAAGGTTGTGTGGGCAACAGGTCCCTCAGGACAGCAGCAGCCTTGCGTGCCGGGCCACACCTAGAGCCAGAGAGGCATGGGGGCTGGGGCTGGAGGCCGGTGGGGCTGAAGCGGCAGAGTCCTGGACACTGCCCTGTAGGGCAGAGTGGAGCCCCCCCCCACCCTGCTTCCAATTCCCAAGCCCGGACCAAGCCTCTGGGCAGAACTGGCTGCCCCTGGCGATGGGAGGAAAGGTGGGGTGAGGCTGGCTGAGGGACTGGGGGTGGGAGGGTACGGACAAGGGCCTAAGGAGGGGAAGTGGGTAGGGGGAATCTGGCAGGTGCTTGGTGGAGGGACTGGAAACCAAGGGAGGTGGGGAAAGTGAGGAGGGAGCTGGAAGGCAGGCAGTGGTGGGTTTGCTGGGGGAGGCAGGTGAGGGGATTGCAGACCTAGGGAGGTAGGGTGGTGGGGAAGCAGGATGGGGGAACAGAGTGGCTGGCAGGGTTTGGGGGAGGCGGAGAGGGGGTGGGGGACAAGGGGCCTTGGGAGACGGGGAGGTGGGCGGGGCAGGGGGAGGCAGGCACAGCCACGGCAGACTTAGGGAGGTGGGATGGTGGGGAGGGGAGCTAGGGGAACAGAGTGGTGGGCGTGGTCAGGGAAGGTGGGGAAGAGTGGGGGACAGGGGCCCTGGGGAGATGGGAGGCTGGTCCGCTCATTCAGCACCGCGGACAGCGCCCAGGCCCGAGGCTCCCGCTGCCCAAGCTGCGCACACCGGGTCGCGGTCCCGAGGCATCTGGGCCTTGGGGAGTTCTGAGCCCTCCCAGGGTCGCAGAGGAGGAAGGAGAGGGGCAGCCTGGACCACTTGGACTCCTGTCTCCGGCCTGGCAGTCGTCATGCTGCTAGAAACCGAGCTCAGTGGAGACCGAGATCTGCAACAGGCTTCCATGGCCACTGCTGCCTGCAGCGTCGGTAGGACTCGGGGTAAGGGCCTCCGCGAACCCCTCGGCCTCCAGCCCAGGCAAGATGACCCCAGTGGGAGAAATGACTAGGACAGCAGAGTCAGGCAGAGGGATGGTGGGGAGAGAGGGACCCAGACACAGCGGAGAAGAAGAAATTCTGGAGAAATCACGGTGGGTGGGGGGGAGGCAGCACCCATGAGAGATGGGACCAGTGGCGAGGGGATGCAACTCTGGCAGATCCCGTGGGCAGAGGGCCTGGAGTTCGCTGCGGTGGCTCCAGAGGCCATGGGCTGTTGTGGAGGACCCCGAGAACAGAAGGGGCCTTGCAGGAACTGCTGAGGGGAAGGGATAGGGCAGAGTGGAGACATCAGTTTCCTCCAGAGACCCCACACCCCTCAGCTCTCCCACACTGCCCAACAGTGCAGAACTGGAAGCCCTGGGCTGGGTCTCCCACCTAAATTGCCCTCCCAAGGACCACTCCACTCGATCGCCATGGACGTTGGAAAATAATGGAGGCATTGTTGGCAGGCCAGCCAGATGCAGAGCATGTGGGGTGGCCGCCTACTGGACCTGCTACCCGCCTGCCCCTTCCCCCCTCAAACCACACATGGTCCCTCTAGGCAGGGCTCTGCAGCAGCTGACATTCCACGGCCAACATCCCAGTGCACCCAGCACCCGGCTCACTGGCTTGTGCACCCTGGCCCTGTCCTCTGGTAACAGTGTCTTACACAGGGAAGCGTGCAGTGCTGGTGGTATGAGCCTTTGCTCAGATCCATGGGGCTGACTCTGGGGATCTGGGAGGGCACTGTGCTTTTCCTGCCCACATCCTTCCAGGCTTGCCTCCTTCGTAAAACACACAGACGAGGTGACCGGAGGCCAGGATACGGAGCAGGGCGAAGACTGTCCTATACCACGGGACTCTCCCAGGTGGAGAGATGGGGAGGCTGGCAGAAATCTGCTCACCCCCATCACTGCCTGAGACCCCTGCCCTCACCATGCCCCACACTGCAAAGACCCCACACTGCTGTTTCCTAATTATTGGGGACGGGGTGTCCTCTGGGCAGGAGCAGCTGCCCTGGGTGGGGGGTGCATCTCTCTATATGCAAGCATGGGTGGGTTCCTACAGGCTTACCCTTTGGATTGGGGACAAAATGCCGGAAGATCAGGTGTGGGACTGCCTTCTGTGCAAGCTGTGTGGAGGGAAGTGAGGACGGACCTCCAACTCCCCCAGCTCTGTCCTTCCTGACCTGAGTCCTGGCCAATGACTGGGCGGAGGACACCGGCTGTACCTGCCGAGAATCGCCCCTCTCTGTGCCCATTCTGGTGGCAGTTCCCAGGGTGGGGCCCAGAAGCTGGTCACAGCTGGGAGGTCTAAGGTCGTGTCTGGCTCCTGGTGGCTTTGCTTTGAGCCTTTGGGTGCCACACTCACCCTCTCTGAGTCCCGAGTCGCGTTCTTGCAGACCAGACGTTGTCACCAAGCCTCCCAGACCCGGCTCTCAAGCGGCGGTGGGACGCGGCTCCCTCCCGGACCGTCCTCCCGGGACCCCCAGCCTTCCCGCACTCGAGCACGCCTGGAGCCCAGGCCTCCGCCCGCGGCCCGCAGCGCGGGGCAGGAAGCTGCGGGGCCCGAAGCTGCGGGGCCCGGGTGAGCTCCCGCGGGTAGTCCTGGCCCGGCTCCTCCCCTGACTGTCCCCGCCCTCCTCGGGCCGGCTACTCGGGTGGCGTCTGGGCACCCCGAGTCCCCTCGCAAAGACGCGCGTAGCCAGCGGACGCCCGCGGCGCGTCTCAGCGACCCCCCCGGCCCCGCCCCGCGCCGCGGCCCCGCCTCCCGCCGCTCCGCCCTCCGCGCGGCCTGAGGCTCCGGGCCCCAGGGCGGCCCGCGGGCGCAGCGCCCAGCAGCGCGGGGAATAGCTCGGACACCGGCCTGGGGCCCCAGAAGCCGTGGCCTCCCCGGGCCGCGGGGAAAGTTCGGGGCCGGAGAGCCGCGGCGCCAGGCGACGGGACCCATGGAGGCGCGCGGGGAGCTGGGCCCGGGCCGCGAGTCGGCGGGTGGCGACCTGCTGCTGGCGCTTCTGGCGCGGAGGGAGGACCTGCGCCGAGGTGGGTGCCCGGGCTTGAGCGGCTGCACGGGGAGACCCGGAGGTCCTCGCTCCTTTCCGGGCTTGGCCACACAGGGGGCGGGAGACGGGGGACCCGGGCGGGCATGGACGCAAGGGCCCCAGCACGTCCCCAACCGGACGCCTCAGTAGCGCGTCGGGGCCCCTGGAGCCGTGCTGTCGGTTGCGCGGTCGCAGCGCCCAACAGCCCAGGCCAGAGAGTACTTGGGGTCCCAGGACCGATTTAGGAAAGCCTCTCCCTTATCCGGAGAGCATGTGGAGAGCAACCGTGCGAGCCGGTGACCACTGGACAAGAAGATGCCCGACAGGGCTGACGGCACCCAGATAGTCCACACTTTCGGGGGAAGAGAGTCAGAGGCAGGGCCGGCGTGTGTAGCTGGAGCCCGCTGGCAGATGTCCCTAGTTGAGGTCTCCTTGTCTGCCCCACACGGACCTGCTCATCAGCGGCTCCCGGGCTGGTCCTCAGGACCCTTCCGGAGGAAAGACCCCAGCTCCTGCCGCACCAGTCCTGCCCCCGCGGCTCCCTCCCACGCTTTGGCTCTGGAGAAGGGCAATCCCCAGTCCTTCTCCCGGGCTTCGTCGCCCGCGGGACCACAGGATGGAGACAGAGGCGGGCCTGGCCGTGGGGAGTGTCAGGGACCCAGCAGGTGGGAAAGAGCTTACATCCAGCTGTGGGGTCTCTTTCGTCCCCTATTTATTTATTTATTTATTTATTTATTTATTTTTCCAACGGTTCCTGGGAGGGGTTGGCCGCTGGGGCTGGGAGGAAGGGGTGGGAGGTGGAGGGAGAGGGAGAGAGGGGAGGCGCACTCCCAACGCGATCGCTCAGGAGAGCTGGCCCTGAGCAGGCGGGCGGGCGCGAGGCTCCACTGCGCCCCACCATTGCTGAGGGTGGAGACCCCGCCGAGGCTGGAGTCACCATGCAGCGTAAGGCCCGGGTCGCAGGGCGCATCGGGGAGCAACAGGGGCCCGTGGGAGCAGCTTTTGCTGGACGCGGGGCGAAGGGCAGCTCGGCCCGGCGCTGTCCCGGCCACGGTGCTGAATCCGCGCTCGCGGGCCTGTCTAGCCACCAGATCTAGGCCGGCTGCGCTCGCCCTTCTGCCGGTGCCGCCAGCGAGGGCCCCCCGCCCACCCCAACCCCCGGAGCAGGGCGCCTCCCCATGCTCCACTGGCACTGGGGCCGCAGTTTGGTCCGATGCGGGACCGCATCCTCGGCGAGTCTCCTGCTGCTGGGCGAGGGAGGTCAGTCAATCAGGGCGCTTTCAGCCTGGGACGCAGGGAGGCCCTTCTCTGGTCCTCCCACCCACTGCCGGCTGGCCTGGAGCCGGAGGGGTCTCTGGCCGGGGAGGGGAGCATGGCCAGGTGGGTGCAACGTTTGCGCAGGCTCCAGCTCCTGCTGCTGGTTCTTTCCTCTCCAGAAGACTTTTCTAAACCAACAAGGAGATTCACCCTGTGAGCACCCTGCAAAGCCCCACATGGGCCAGTGGCTCCTGCAGACCACCCCTCGAGTTTCCCCAGCCTTGTTCCCCCAGAGGCCTGCAGTCCCACGGTGGCAGAGCCAAGTGTCAAGGAACTCATGTCAGGCACCGACACTTGAGTATGGTGACAGTGATCCAATTGTCCAGTCCGTGTACAAGGACCTGCGAGGGCTCCCAGAGATGGGGAGGACACCCGTTTTTACCTTGGTGCCTGAGCAGGGTTGGGTGGCCACGCTTCAACAAAGGACCTCCAGCTGCAAGGATACTTAATTTCACAAAATAGCGATGGGGATTGGGCGGTACGCACCCCCGGACCACGAGCACCTTACCTCCTGCTAGACAGCTCCTGTGGTGGGGTTTTCATTTGAGCTCAATGTGCACCCTTGGTGGTCGCTGGAAACATTTTGCAGTTGACGGTATCTGGCCGAATGGAATGGCCGGGGCCCCTTCCTGCTCACGGGCACACTTCTAAACCTATTTCAGTTTTCCCAGATTTTAACTGTGGGCCAGGCTGCAGACCTCGTTGTCATGCACTCCCTACACCCGGGAACCAAGGGGATGTGCGGGGAAGGGGGTCTCCTGTGGCAGCCCCGGGCCCCGCGGGCTGGACTAGGAAGGGGACTCCAGTGCTCCCACTCTGTGCGGTGCCTCTGACCTCGGTGGCTCCTTGGCCTGCAGAAATCCCGCTGTGTGCAGGCTGCGACCAGCACATCCTGGACCGCTTCATCCTCAAGGCACTGGACCGCCACTGGCACAGCAAGTGTTTGAAGTGTACTGACTGCCACGCGCCCCTGGCCGAGCGCTGCTTCAGCCGCGGGGAGAACGTCTACTGCAAGGACGACTTCTTCAAGTGAGCGGGGCGGCGGGCTTGTGCGGGAGGGCAGGGGTGCGGTCTGCTCCTGCAAGGCGGGCCCCTCCTCTTACCCAGGCCAGGGTGCGGGCGGGGAATCTCCACAGGCGGCTAGGCCTGGCTGGCGCGGCAGCTCAGTTCTCTCCAAGTAATTAATTTTGCAAATCATAGAAACACAGTCATTCAAAAAGACAACCCCAAGTTTACAGAACTTGATTGGATTTACTCCGTCTTTATTTCGGTCTTGTTTTTGTCTTCAATGCTGGGGAGGGGGTGCTTTTCGAGCACAGGCCTCTGGGGTCTAAGGGAACTGCCCTATGGATCCCGCTTCCCCACTGGGACACGGAGGTCAGGGCGGCGAGGCTCTTGCCCCGGGCCTCTGGTTCCCTTCTCCGTATTCTGTGCGGCTCTGTGGGGGCTGCCGGGCCGACGACTAGGGGCAGGGCCCGGGTGAGCCTCCCTACTGAACCGCCCTGGGCGGCTTCCCGCTCCTCGTTCTCCAACCCGCTCCGGGCGAAGGAGCCGCGGACGCTGCGCTGAGCCGCGCCCTGTGCGTCCCGCAGGCGATTCGGAACCAAGTGCGCCGCGTGCCAGCTGGGCATCCCGCCCACGCAGGTGGTGCGCCGCGCCCAGGACTTCGTGTACCACCTGCACTGTTTCGCCTGCGTCGTGTGCAAGCGGCAGCTGGCCACGGGGGACGAGTTCTACCTCATGGAAGACAGCCGACTCGTGTGCAAGGCGGATTATGAGACGGCCAAGCAGCGCGGTCAGTGGGAGGGTCCACCCACCTCCTTTCCCTGTCTGCAAAATGGGGCTGGGGTCCGTCTGTTAGGGGCGCGGAGGGATCCCCACGCCCAGCGCCCGCCGCAGGGCGCTCCTTCAGGGGCGCAAACTTAAGCGCCTCCCCAACCCCGGCCGGGAGGGGTGGGGACCCGCGCCGGTAGGGACGATCCACCGGCTCCGAGGAAGCCTGGCTCCAGGGCCTTAGCGGCCTCCTTCCACCCTCGGGGGCACAGGGAGGTTGGTCTGAAATGTGTGGATTATCGCCCCAAACCCTTGACCGTGAAGATCCGTCCCTACCCACAGCTTTGGAACAAAGGGGAACCCCGGCGGGGTGGGGGGCCGTCGGGCGGCGGAGGGGCCCAGACTCACTCCATCCCTCGCGGCGCAGAGGCCGAGGCCACGGCCAAGCGGCCACGCACGACCATCACGGCCAAGCAGCTGGAGACGCTGAAGAGCGCCTACAACACGTCGCCCAAGCCCGCGCGCCACGTGCGCGAGCAGCTCTCGTCGGAGACCGGCCTGGACATGCGCGTAGTGCAGGTCAGCGCCCGCGCCCCGCGCCCCGCGCCCCGCGCCGCGCGCCCCGCTCACCCGCCCTCCGCCGCTCGCCCCGCCGCAGGTGTGGTTCCAGAACCGCCGCGCCAAGGAGAAGCGGCTCAAGAAGGACGCGGGCCGGCAGCGCTGGGGCCAGTACTTCCGCAGCATGAAGCGTGCCCGCGGCGGCCCCAAGTCGGACAAGGACAGCGTGCAGGAGGAGGGGCAGGACAGCGACGCCGACGTCTCGTTCACCGGTACGGCGGGCCGCCTCGCCCCCAGGACGCCACTCGGGAGGCCCGCAGCTCCCGCGCCTTGCGGTCCCCGGGAGCCTGCAAATGGGAATTTCCCAGTCAGGGGCTGCCCTGGCCTTCTTTTAAAAGCGTTCACAGACTCTGGTCTCCTGTCCCCAAGCCCTGCGGTTTGGCCCCTGGGGCGCTCAGCTGTCCCCCTGGTGGGGAACAGCCCCCAAGACCCACGTGACCCTCAGCAGGCTTTCTCTGGGGAAGGGGTCCGACCATTTCTGTGGCTCCTGGTCCTTGCAATGATTTTCAGGAAAGTGGGCAGTGGTTTCGGGGTGAGTGACAAAAAACTCTCTGCTGTTTGGAGTTGGGGGATTTGGAGTTGGGGGGCGATCCACCCGTCTCTGTGGGATCTAATCATCTTATCCCATCTGTGAGTGACCCCATACTTACCCCTTAATGCCCATCCACAGACAGTGTGTGCAAGAGATCCTCTCTGGCTGCGTCGTGACCTTAGGCCACTCGCTCTGCCACTCAGAGCCTCAATTAAGTCGTCTGCAAAATGGGCGTGGGGCCGCCCTTCCCCAGGCAGCCTTGCAGATTATCCCGTCACCCTGGGCCCTGGCTAGCCTGTTCCTCGCCTGGATCCTGCAAGGGGATCCCCCCAACACAGCAGGTGGGACTGAGCTGAACAAAGGCGACAAGCACCACGGAGGCAGAGGGAGGCCTAAGTTCTGAAAGCCGCAGAGGCTTGGGCTGGCCGATGCAGGCTGGCCACGAGTCCCCCAGAGGAGGGGCGCTGGGGCTGAAGGGCGAGGGGCGGGCCCTGAGCAGCGCCGTCTGTTTCCATTGCAGATGAGCCAGCCGTGGCCGAAATGGGCCCTGCCAATGGCCTCTATGGAAGCCTGGGGGAGTCCACCCCGGCCTTGGGCAGGCCCGCGGGAGCCCCAGGCAGCTTCCCGCTGGAGCACGGAAGCCTGGCCGGCCCGGAGCAGTACCGCGAGCTGCGCCCCGGCAGCCCCTATGGTGTCCCCCCATCGCCAGCTGCCCTGCAGAGCCTCCCTGGCCCCCAGCCCCTTCTCTCTGGCTTAGTATACCCGGATGCCGGCTTGGGCCTGGTGCCTGCGGGGGCCCCAGGTGGGCCCCCACCCATGAGGGTGCTGGCGGGAAACGGACCCAGCTCCGACCTATCCACAGGGAGCAGCGGGGGCTACCCCGACTTCCCTGCCAGCCCCGCCTCCTGGCTGGATGAGGTGGACCACGGCCAGTTCTGACCGAGGCCCCCGGCTCCACCGAGCTCCGGACGCAAGGGGTGTGGAAAGCAGTGCTGGCCCTGGCTGGGGGGCCCGGCGCGACCCTCCTCTCCTCTCCCAGAGCCCAGCACCTTAGCAGGAAAGCAGGTGCCACGGGCGCCCGCAGGGGACAGGATGAGACCTCAAAGGAGGGCTCCTTTCTGCGGAGCGCCCAACCCCGCTCCCTCCCTGGGGGCAGAGGGACTCCTGCGGCTCCTGTCCGTGCCCGCTCCGTCTCAGACACAGGGCCGCCGGCCTGGTGGCCGCCAGCGAGCCGTGTTTTGTAAACAGATTTCTCCCTTGATCGACCAATTAACTGGACGCTTGCTGTTTCTAGACACGAAGCGTCCCCCCACCCAGGCTGGGCCTTCCCCCTGCCGCGCTCCAGCCCAGGGCCACGGCGTCTTTGGGCCGGAGGAGGCTTTACAGTCTGAAATGAAAACGCAGAGCACGAACCACGCTTCTCTTCCCGGGCTCCACCTCCCTGACGGAGGCCCACTTTAGGTCAGAGATGGGCCTCTTCTGTCCGGGCAAGAGGCGGCCAAGCAGGGACCACACCCGTGTCCCTCTGGTCCCAACCCCCACCTCGCCCAGGAGGCTCCTCTCTGGTCTTCCCTGGGGACCTGGCTCTGGAGCTTTCTGTTCTTGACTCTACCACCTGTCGGGAGGAGACGCCCCTGCCGGGACTCTACCACCTGTCGGGAGGAGACGCCCCTACCGGGCCGCCCTTCTTCTCCAGGAGCAACGCGTTAAGGTTAAGGCCGTGGGGACCTCCCTCCCCGCCTACACCAAATTTCCATCCCCTCCCCCGTCACCGCTGCCCCTGGCCCTCGGCGTCCAGGCCACGCCCAGTCCGCTGCTTTCCGTTGCCAAACAGCCGGCGGCCCTCCCTCTCGGACTGGGCTCTAGCGGCGGGAGGGCTGGGCGGCCTCCTCCACCCAGCGCCTGTGGCCGCCTGCCCCAGACCCTGAGGCCAGCGGTGGGTGAGACCCAGCCTCCCCGCAAACTTGCACCCCGAGCTGCCTGTCAGCTCTGTGGCATCCCGTGTTTTTATTCACTCTCTGACTGTCGGCTCTTTCCAAGGCTTCAATAAAGTTGTCTGTGACAGTCGAGAAGGTCCGGGTCTCTAGTGCGGCGGGGGGCGCGGGCGCAGGGGCGCTGGGGGTGGAGCGGCTCTCCGAAAGCGGGAAGCCGTCCGTGGCAGGGACGGCACTTGCTGTGAGTTGGGCCCCTCTGTCCCTGGATTTTGGCCAAACTTCTGAGCACTGGAAGGGGAGGTGGGAAAACCTTGTGCCCAGCCACTAGGGGGTGGGCTGGTGCCCGGGTACCCGGGCCCTGGGAGAGGCGGGGGCTGGGGTGAGGGAGTGTGCTCCCCCCCGGGGAGCGGCAGCAACGGGTGGGGGAGGGGGCAGCCAGAGCCAGCCCCTCCGGAGGTTCCGGCGCAAGGTCCCGGGTGTCTCCCGACTTGGATTCCAATCCTAGCCATTTGCTAACTCGCTGTGCGACTCTGGGCAAGTGAGCTGCCCTCTCTGAGCCCTGTCGTCCTGCGAAGTGGAGACACTGCTCGCAGCTCCTCCGAGGGGAGGCGTATGAAGAGAGTCGATGCTCACCAAGCAGGTGAGTGCTCCCTGGAGGGCAGGACTGCGGCCTCCCTTGGGACAGCTGGGCAGGGAGGTGGGTGGAAGCCGGAGCCCCCAGGGCAGGGGAGGAGTGGTGGATGGTGGGAGGGAGGCGGGGTGTTCCATGGGAGCTGTCCTCGCTGTCACGACATCAAAGAGGCACTCACGGGAGCCCCGGGGACTGGGAATGGGGAGGTACCAGGAGAGGAGTCGAGGCTAGGTGAAGGGGCCCCGAGGCCGTTCCATCTGGGGCTGCAAACAGGGAGTGTAGCTGTGGGTGTCCAGACCGCACTGGAGCAGGAGGATGAGACGGTGGCCCATGAGACGGTGGTCTGTGAGACAGCGCCCACCGTGAGCGGAGCTGTGGCGCCGGGAAGTGTGACGGGCCTGGGTTGGCCTGGCAGGGGGTGCTCAGGGGTCAGGCCTCCCCGGGGTGGGGCAGGGGAAGGCCCCGGGGCTGGTGGGGCGGGGTCCTGCAGCGGTCGACCTCGCACTTCCTCCCGGGGGCTGGGGAGCCCCTGGAAAGGAAAGCAGCCCGGGCTGAGTTGTGATCCGGGCGGGGGGGGGCACCAGGGTGGGCGCTGTCTGACCCGGCCGCCGTGGGGGGCGGGGGTGTACGTGTGTAAATCCTCAAGTCGACACCCCTCCTCCCGCCTTGAGCCCCTCCCCCAGGCCACCCGGGGCCTTTTAGGCGCTGACAGGTTAATAAAGTGCTAAGTGTCCCCAAGGGGCCCTCCGCCTGTTGGCAGTTGCCCACCAAGCTCGCTCCAGCTGGCGGCGCGTCGATAATCCCGGAGCCGAGTCGGGGCGGTGGCCCCGGGGTTGGCAGCCTCTGAGACCCCTGGGGGCTGGGCCCAGCCCGCGTGTGGGAAGCCCGAGACCCCGGCTGGTGTGCTGGAGGGATGGGCGCGATGGGCCCAGGCACCCGGCGGAGGTGTTTGCCCGTCAGACCCGCAGCCGGCCTGCGGTGCTCACTCGCCCCCGTCTCTGGCCTTGGCGTCCCCATCTGAGTGGAGCACCCCCTGGGTGGAAACACAGCTCCATATCCGGGCGCCACCACGAAGCTGGGTGCCCGGGGCCCTCGCCGGGACTGGCATGGCAGCGGGCACTGCCCGGACCCAGACCGGCGTTACCAGCAGGCATCAGGTGCCCCCGGGCTGGGGGGCCACCTGGGTGGGGACAGCATTTGAGCTTGCTAACCTTTTTGGGGGGCGGGGGGGCAGGTAAGGCTTATTAACCTTTGAACCCATAGATGTCTGACATTATCAAATGTGAATGCGTGAATGACGTAAATAACAATATCGACCAATATACAAAGGGTTTTCTCTCCTTTTAAATACAAAATTCACACAGGAGGCAAGAGTTCAAAGGACACTCCCAAACCCAGGACCTGCGTCTCCCTGAGAGGAGGGGACGCACCTGCTCCCAGGCTTGCCCATCTCCCTCCTCACTCCCCCCACAAGCTGGCTTGTCCTGAGGGATTTGTCCCCCCAGATGTGGACAGGAGGGGATCCAAGCCCTGGGGACTCTCCTGGTTGAGCACCAAGACTATAAATCAATGGGGTTTCACAGGAATCAGTCTGGAGCGCTCAATTCCAGGGGCTGTAATGATCAATTCTTTAAGCCCATAATTGTTCAAATTACTCTGAGCAACATAAAACATTAATTTTAAGAAATTTAATAGAAAAAAGCTCTTTAAACCCACAACGAGATAAATGACACCCAGCGTTGCGACCTTTTTCCATACCTTGGTGACATTGAATAATCTGAAAGTTATTTACATTTTCATTCTTCGTGGAAAATGTTGACAAGCTTTTGGCCACGGGCGAGGTGCGCGGGCGGCGCGGAGGGCCCCCTCCCCCTAATTAATGGGGGAGCCGCGGCTTCATAAAGCAGGGTTTCCATCAGTCTGTCGGGGCGACCTGCGCTGGCGGTTCTCACCGCTCCTGGAGCTGATGCCACAAGCCTCATTTTTTACCATAAAAAGATTCCCTCCTGACCAGCAGAGCCCCCTCTTGGCACGCCCACCCGATGTGGGACTAAGGAGCGGCTGTCGCGGGGGGCGGAGCGGGGATGGGGTCCACGACCGGACCTGGGGGGAAGCGACAGGTGCTGCAGACCCCAGAGTCAGGGTGCGTGCGCAGCATGGCTTCGCGTTTGCAGGAGTGTGTGTGGATGCTGGCGTGGAGGTCATGCCTGGGGCCGAGGGGGAGAGGGGGCATGTGGGCTAAGCCCTCCAAGCCCTGACCTCCACGTGTTCCCAGAGACCGTCCGGGTGGCCGCCTCGGCCGGGCTGTGCAATGTGATGTGCAGGGTGGCCGGCGGCAGGCTGATGTCCGCGGGAGGGAAGCTGGGTGACCCTGGGAGGGGCTCAACCCTTCTGAGCCTCGGCACAGGGCAGCATCCTGCCCTCCCTTCCAGGGTTGCCCTGACGGGACAGGCTCCGATGAAGGGTTGGGCAACGCTGGGGACAGCAACGAAAGAACCCCTCTCAGGGGCTGAGGGCAAATCCCACGGACGCAGAGGAAACAGCCCCCTGACCTATGCCACCCCCAGACGCTCCGCACCCCTGTGCCTTCTCCCTGAACTTGGAGGCCTCAGTCGCCGTGAGGGAAGCGGGGCTTGTGTGCACCGGCGCTGGGGGCTCCGGTGCCCTCCCTGCGTCTGAACAGAGCGCCCAGGTCTGGTTGTCCCCTGAGCCAGGTGGAGGACCCAGACAGGGCAGCAGCAGGGTCTCACGTCCACCCGCCCCCTCCAGCCAGTGTGCGCCCGCCGGGTGGGCGGCAGGAGGCGCTGCGGGGACCTGCTGGGGGAAGGCATTGCTCAAGGTGATTGGTCTGGGAAAACCCAGCCCGGAGCAGTCCCCTGTCCCCGACGGCTCTTCCGTCATTGAGTTTCCCCTATCACAGAAGGGCCCCCATCCCTGAGGGATCTCCCATCCCAAAATGTTCCCCCAAACCTTAAGGGTGCCCTGTCCAGAGGAGTCCCCCATCCTTGAGGGGTGTCCCCCAAACCTGTGGGCAGCCATCATTCTGTCCCCCACGTCCGTGGCCATCAGCTGTGGGCCAAGAGATGACTCTGTGTCTCTCTCTGCAAGCCGTCCCACTCATCTGCGAGGGGGTGATCTGGTCATCAAACCCAGGAAGAGATACCCCCTGGTCTCTGGGGAAATTGAGTCAGAGCGACAACACGAGGCACACCAGACACTAACAAGTACTGGCATGGCTGCTGGGGCTCTAAGAAGCCGCCACCATGGGCACCGTGGTACCACATGCCCCGGCGACTCCACTCGCGAGTACGCACCCAAGAGACAGAACGCAGGGACCCAACCAGACACCTGGACACGCACGTTCCCAGCGGCAGGGGAACAGTG